TCAGTCACAGAAGTATACAAAGTGGGGCCCACGGGCGGGTGGGCACCGAACCTAGTAGAAGAATCATGGTGGTGGGCTGCGAAGTCAGTTCGGATTAAACGGCAACCCTTTCGAGTCTCCGAAGTAGAGCATGCGCCCTCACACACACACACACCCCGGGGAGCGCGTGCAGATCGCCCAAGGGCCGCGTGGGCGGAGGGGGAAGACGCCGTGGGGACTTCGCTAAGAGTTGTACCAACTTTTACTTAGGAGTAACATTTGGATTTAGGTACTCTTAAATGTGCTGGATTCCATCTGTGTAATCAGTGGGAGACGTGACATATTTGAAGGGCACCAGTGAGAAAAAAAGATTGATTGTGGAATTAAAAGGGACTTAGAAAACATATATTCCAACCCTTTTCTCAGTGCAGGAATCTTGCAATTCCAACATCTGTGGCAGCTACATCTCTACCATGTCCCTCCAGCAGTCAGTCTCTGTGTGTGCGCGCACGTGCGTGCGTGCATGTGTGTGTGAGAGAGATGGAAAACAGAATATTAAGGAATCAAATAATCATTTTCTGCCCACTCATGATATCCCAAACCTGCAGCATGAGACAGTTACCTCACCTCATGCTGGTGCTTGGCTTGCTCTTCTTTGGTCACTTGGTTTTAGTCAGCTGACACCTTTTATGAAAGACCAGTTTCCCCTTCTTTCCGTAAGGAAAGCCATCATCATATTAAGTGACTCATGCTCCAAGGTAGCACTTATGCAAATGGAAGGTGGCTTTATACACATTGCAAAGTTCCTTGCCTTCAAAATATAGATTTCATTGGCTCTGGAAGGAGCTTTTAAGAACTGAACTGTGGAGCCACAAAAGACGGTGCTACCATCACTGATTAATGAATGGCCCAGTTGCCTCGTTTAGTTACTCAGGTTTATTCCTCAGCTACAAAGCAAAAAGTTTTCTTTCAGGCATTTTTTAAAACACACATACATACTTCCCTTCCAGATGGCTATAAAGCAAAAAGTTTTCTTTCAGGCATTTGAAAAACACACATACATACTTCCCTTCCAGAGAAGCTGTCCTT